GAGTGGTGGGGCTGCTGCTGACTCTCTCGTTGCTGGTCGAACACACCCATGGATTCTTCCCAAAACAATGGATGGCCTCCTTTACATCGTTTTTCGCAAAAGAACGCACCATCAGCCACGTGCAAATAACCGCTACAGCTATCGAGACAGTGGTGGAAGAAATGGCAAAGGTAAGACATGAATAATATTTGTTATGCATGTGTTGGTGAAATTCGCCCTCATGCCCATCGCTTCACCTGCCAGGTAAACGAGGTAGGGCCAGGCTATTCAGTAACAGGGTGGCGCAGTGGTAAAACTCACAGGTGACTGCAAGAGGATCTGGGTTTGATTTGCCAACTCGGAACTGATCTAACATACAATTCCAAGTTATAACATGTACAAAAAACTCGAATTCCTCCATTTATCCTTAATAATGTCAGCTTCTCTTCTTGTACCACATTTTCACTGTCATCAGGAAGAACATGAGTAAGAACACAATAATTAATTAATAACTCTCTGCATGTACCTCCCACCTTTCAGTTTCATTTATTAGGTATAGCCCTGTGAGCCATGTGGCTCTTGAATCGGGTGTAACCGCAACAAACAAAAACATGAAACATCTTAAAGTGACCACGTGCAACAGAAAAATCCAGGAAAAAACAGCAGAAAAATACCGTATATCAACGCTGTGTGCAAAATCCCAGTCGGATGCAAGTCAAACAATAACAACCATACGACAATTTTTATTAAAGTTATCAGTCTAACTCTGTACTACAACATACAAATATGGCTAGACCAAAACGTTTTCGAAATCACCAAAATAAAGCAATAAAAACAATGTAACAGTGATCATAGGAACTGTGTTTTAAATGTAACAATAAACGATGTACATAACATGTACGACGACCAAACTTTGCAGCCATAGCTGGCAGCATGAGTCACTCCATAACAGCCAGAGTATCAGTAGCAGTATAAAACATGTTCAATGCACCTTTAAAGATCAGCACACTATAATCACCACTCAAGATCATACTTTGCAACGGTCATCCGGAGCGATACATTTGATTTCAGGCCACTGAATAGCAGTGGCAGCTAGGGGTGTACAACTCCTCTAGAGCAGTTTTGAGTGAAGATCTCACAGGTAGTGATCCAATTTGCAGTTCATTGGCGATAGCATTCCAGACCCTGGGGGCATCAATAGAAAAGGCCCTTCCTCCAGTCTTTGTACGGCAATAAGGAATGCGAAGCTGGTAAATGAGCGAAGACCTTAGGTCACATTTGTTCTTCGTAACAGTGAGGAGATCCAGCAGGTAATCTGCTGATTTTTTTGTAAGTACATCGTGAATAAATAAGATCTGATGCACAAGCCGTCGATCATTAAGAGATGTAAAGTTTGACACAATGTAGAGATCGCAGTGGTGGGTCCTATATGGGCAGTTCAATGCAAATCTTAAGGCCGAGTGATAAATTGAGTCAAGCTTCTTCAGTACAGTACTGGGGGCTGATTATATACGATGTCACAGTAATCAAGTAAAGGCAGTATGGTAGCTTGTATCAATTCCAAACGGAACATAGGGGGGAAGCAATGCTTGTGCCGATACAGAAAACCTATTTTAATTTTTGTCTTTTTACCAATATAATCAATGTGATCTTGAAAATTCAGTTTTGAATCAAGGATGATCCCAAGATACGTATAGATCTTGACTTGCTCTATTTGATAATTATTTAAGGAATGTAATTGAGGAAAAATAACTTCCTGCTTTTGTCCTGGTGAGAAGCATAACACCTTGGTTTTGGAGGTATTCACGACTAGTTTAAGAGCAACTAGCTGATGTTGTAGTTTGTTGAAATCACCCTGGAGCTTAGCAATAACGTCATCCGGAGAGCGGCCAGCAGTAATCAGTAACGTGTCATCTGCAAAAGATTTACCCTGGTATGATCCAGGTCAGTGACCAAGTCATTGACATAAATAGAGAACAAGAGGGGGCCGAGGATGGAACCCTGTTGAACCCCTTTTGTTATCTTAACACTGTTTGATCTCCAGCCATCTATGAATACAGTTTGGTTGCGAGAAGAGAAGTATTTTTTTAACCATTCCACTGCGTATTTGGAGTAACGGAGGCAACTTAGTTGACTAAGCAGGATGTTGTGGTCGACTGTATCAAAGGCTTTGGACATGTCAAGAAAAAGACTGGCGCAGTACTGCTTATTATCAAGGTAAATGTGATTCAGAGAGTCTAATGCAGCAGATGTGGTGCTGTATTTTTTTCGGTACCCAGATTAGTTTTGATGTAAGAGATTGTTGTCAGACAGGAAACTGATAATTTGGTAGCTCAATAATTTTTCAAAAAATGTCATCAACAGGGACAAAATTGAGATAAGTCGGTCAGAGTTATGTTCTTTTGTTTGTATTATGACTGCAGGTATTGCGGTCTATGCAAACATGACTCCTTGTAAAAAGGTGTCAGTTTTGTTGCCAGATAGAAGGGTAAAGAACCAATTATCATATTTTTGCTGGCAAATGAGGTTCCCATAGTAAAGTCGGTAGTTATTTGGATCATTTTTAGGGCCCCCTTTGTGAAGTGGACGAACATAGGAATGTTTCCATTCTAGAGGTACTGATGCTTCTTTGATGGACAGGTTGAAAATATGGGCTATAGGTTTGTAAATTAGGTGACCAACAGTTAGCAAAGCAAAGACGGGAATGCTATCCGCTCCGGTAGAGGAGGACTCTTTCAGGTAGGAAAGTTGTTTCAGAACATTACTTTCGTGGATAGACTGGAAACTAAATTCGTTTAATGTTTGGACAGGCATGTAGGAAATTGCATGAGCAGGGGTGACTCTCAATACATTATTAAAAAGGTCACCAGCTTCAGAAAATGAAGGTTAAAATTGTCGACTACTTTTTGGGGCTCTGAAAAATAGTCCCCATTTCGGTTAAGCGCAACGGCAAGATTATCTGTGTTAGATGCCCTTTCGATACATATGACTGTTTTCCAGAAGATCCTGGCGTTGCCATGTGATTCCAGGAGAGTGGAGGAAAAGTAAGCATTTTTTGCATGCCGTATTTTTTGGACACATCAATTCCTTAAAATCCTGTATTCTAGCCAGTCTTTGACCAAATTACTTTTCTGAGTACATGCCCAAGCCTTGTCCTTAGTTTTCATGAGCTTAGTAATCAAAGGATCAAACCATGGTGGGCGGTTGCCCTTAATCTTAAATCTAACCAACAGAGCATGTTTGTTAAGAATTTGGAGAAACGTATGCCTGAAGGTCTCCCAAGCCGTAGTCAGGTTGGGGATATCACAGACCTTGTCATTATCCGAGTGAAGCACATAATTAGTAAATGCCTGTATGTTGAAGTGTCTCATGGAGTGCTTATCAACCAATTTAGGGGGGGCTTCAGGTCTGGCTGACGATCTCACTCCAAATTTGAAGGAGTGATCACTAAGGTTATTACCCAGAACACCAGTCAGTGCGAAATTGTGAGGGGCATTAGTCAATGGACGTCAAGCAGAGATGACTGTCCCGAATTTTTTAGGTTGGGTCTTGTTGGGACATTTATTAATTGAAATAGGTTAAATTCATCTGCAAAATGTGTGGCCACGGCCGGCGGGTTTAGCCAATTCCAATTCAGATCACCCATTAAAATTATTTCACCTTTAGGGAGGCCCCCAAGAAGCTCCCTCAGTGCGTTGCCAGCTTCAACATCCTTACCACTAGGTGGTCTATAGCAGCACACTACCCATATCTGTTGATTTTAAGGAGAGTGTTTCTGAGAGCCAGACCTTCAAAGCAATATTTTTTAAACAAGGAATGAGCTGGTGAACATGCAATAGTACTATGAACATATATGGCAATTCCACCTCATTTAGACCCTCGGTCAAGTCGAAAAAGGTTGTAGTTGTCAATCGGAATCTGCAAGTCATTGACGGCCGGAGTGAGAAATGTTTCTGTAAGGCAGAAAATGTTTGGGTCCAGATTTTCCCCTTCTAGTTTTAGTTGACTTAATTTAATCACAAACCCTCTGATGTTGACGTGTAGAACACCAACACCTTTTCTGCCAGAAAAATTTACAGAATTAAATGAGCTCTTTACATTTGGGCCAGGGTGAAGCTCAATACCACCAGAAATAAAAAAAAGTAGAAATAATAGTTTGCACAAGTATTTTCTGTGTAAGGATGAGAAGCGGCAAACCTTGGACGAATAGCAGCAGCTTACAGATGGCGACATTTTAAAGAGCAGAATGAAGTTAGAAAGGAGTGCTGGTGAAGTAATAGGACAGAGATAGGGTTTAAAACGATACAATGATGGAGTGTAGAAGTGGCCATAAGCTGTTTCACTAGCAGGTGTAGTGGCAAATGGAGCATCAAGTACGGACGAGAAATAACGAGGGATGCCAGTGGTGGAGTTGAGTTTGGCACTAGATATGGCCAGGAGGGACAGCAGTAGGATACACAGCAGAACTGCCATCTTTAAAATAACAAAGGTCCACAACAGTTAAACACACAAGTGAAAATGTACAGGTAGGCCGAGCGCGAGAAATGTCTTGCCACACTCGTCACACATGTACGGCTTCTCGCCCGTGTGCTTGAGTTTGTGGTGGCGGTCAGCTCCAGGTCACGAAGTTGAATAGTCGTTCAAGTTCTTGCTGTTCGTAAGCACACCTTTGTGCATTGCCATTGCTCTACGCTAGCATGGGTGGGACCTAACACTTCACTCTTTTTTCTCTCAAGGAGCATTTTCGTGAACAGAGCAATAACCTGATCAAGCAGGTGAAGGGTAGAAACCTCAAGGAGCGGGTCAAGACGGTCGAGGGCTTCCTGCAGAAGCTTCGGCTCCTTGCTGATGAGGAGCATTTCTAAGAAAACCAGGGAACAGCAGTTAAGGCAGACCAAAAGAGCAGCAGCTCAGGCAGGCCCAGGGAGCAGCAGCTCAGGCAGGCTAGGGAGTAGCAGCTCAGGCAGGCCCACGAAGCAGCAGCTCAAGCAGGCCCAAGGAGCAGTAACTCCGGCAGACACATGGAGCAGCAGCTCAGGCAGACCTGGGGAACAGCAGCTCAAGTAGACCCAGGGAGCAGTAGCTCAGGCAGAATGCAGGAAGCAGCAGCTCAGGTAGACCCGGGGAGCAGCAGCTCAGGTATACCCAGGGAGCAGTAGCTCAGGCAGCTGCAGGAGCAGCAGCTCAGGTAGACCCGGGGAGCAGCAGCTTAGGTATACCCAGGGAGCATTAGCTCAGGCAAGCCCCGGAAGCAGCAGCTCAGGCAGACCCAGTGAGCAGCAGCTCAGGTAGACCCAGGGAGCAGCAGCTCAGGCAATCCCGGGAAGCAGCAGCTCAGGCAGGCGCAGGGAGCAGCAGCTCAGCTAGACCCAAGGAGCAGCAGCTCAGTCGTACACTGCGTTATGGGATTGCTATTCGCATGAATGACGCTCTATAAAAAATACATGTGATAGCCACATATCTTATGAGCTTTTATTGAAGAGTCATAATGTCTTGTTCCTTCATATCCAAGTTGAGTGTAATCATGTTACCTTGTTGGTTTACTCCATGAAGGCCAAGAGCATAGTATGTGCTATACGCCTAAACAGTAGTGATTTGAGGAAGATCTCGTCAGGCTTTCGAGAGCTTCCTCTAATGGCGGCATGAGCCGGCAGTTGCAGGAATGCACCTTTACCTCTGCAACATTCATGAACAGCTAGAACCACGATAACAAGACAGATAATTAATCCTCAAATTACATTTAACGAAATTTATTATAGATAGTTAAGTTATTAAACACCTTCAGTGAGTAAACAAATGAAAGTTTAAACATTTAGGCCTACTAATCTGGTACTAGGCGAAGCCTGCGGCAAGATAATTGATCCTCAATTTAGTTTTTAAAATACTTATAGATTAAGAGGTGACTGACAATTCCCCATCGAAGGACCTCTGTAAAATTGTTAAGTTATTAAATACCTTAGATGGGGAACCAAATTAAAGTTTTAATCTTTAGGCCTGAGGCCTACTAACCTGTTATTAGATTAAGCCTGCGGCATGAGAATTAATACTCAAATTAGTAAAAAAGAATGCACTAACAGATTTAGGGGTGATTGAAGATCTGCCATCTAACGATCTCTGTAATTGTTAAGTTATTAAACACCTTAGTTGGGTAACCAAATTAAAGTTTAAACCGTTAGGCCTAAGGCTTGAGGCCTACTAACTTGTTTCTATGCGAAGCCTGTATCCTCAATTACGTTTAATTTACTTAAAGATTAAGAATGTTCAATGAGTGTTGATGATGGGTGGTGGTGTTGATGATGAATGGAAACCATGAAGGGTGGTGAAGAAGGTTTGTGATAATGATAGTGTACGTGCACACAGGAGTTCGCAAACCTGCCTGTTCAGATGGAGACGTTTACTGAGATATGTTTTTGTCCTGTGGAATCAGGACTCAAAATAAGTTCAGCACTGCCCAGCGATTTGTAGAGGTAGGGAAGTATGTGTATATTTGTTGCACAACAGAAACATAAAAAAATGCATCTAGGCAGCAATCGAATGCAGCTCAGCCAACACGATTCAGTGAATGTCCAGCACATGGAATATATAGCTAACTTTATTTTCTATAGAATGTGTTTCTGCATGCCAATATACCTCCCTGCCATGTTGACTGCATCTTTTGCTACTTTTTGTGTTTAGTTTATTGTTCCTCCCCCGCACCACCGAGAAGCATGGTTGGCTACGTGTGGTGCAAAACAATTTCAACATACATACATACATGACTGTCCTCTACACTTGCTGAAGTCAACTCTGCAGTCATTCCCTAGATAATACAGCACCATGTTGGCCATACTTTCACCACAATGAGTTTCTAATTGAAGGAAAGTTGTCTGCACGCTAGGCTCGATCTGCAGCTGGAGCACACTGAGATTATTTTGTCAGCAGCCTTAGGAGTGGCTTAGCTCGTGAGCACGCTTGGTTGCTCACTCTCGGAGGTATCACGCTGTGCAGCAGCCTACACGTGACAATGCTCACACACTTCCAGACTCTTCGTACCTCAAACAATCTCGGGTTGACTTGACAACAAACGGAACTCTTCCAGTCGATAGCTTGGACAATATTTCCGTGCACACTCGAAAATGGTGTGTAACTGAAATCTCCAATTAAGGAAGTTGTTTATGCCACAAAGGACCCTTTGCCAACAATCCTCTCACAACTCTTAGCTTATGTTGTATATGTTGGGTCTTGAAAAATTAATAAAAATAATAACAATTTAATTAAGATTGGGAAAATACGTAATTATCCAAAATGATGATACTTCATGCAATTATGCGCATAAATTATGCTACTTAGGGAGGTGTAGGGGTGTTACGGAGGGCCTGTTATACATGGGATCACACGGGAAGCAAACACAGTGGGCGGGGCTACGTCCGCACCGGGCAGCCTGGCCCCACCCCTCAGTGGGGGGTTTTGGTATATAAGGAGATGAGCCGGAGGGCTCAGGGAATAATGTTAAAGCTAAACCAGTGAAGACCGAAGATCGTCCAGATAGAGCCCTGGACTCCCCTGGATCGCCGCCCTTATCAGGGCCGAACAGG